CATATTGTCATTGTCACTGTCACCCCATTGTTCATCCATTTGCTCGAGCGGGCCCAGTAACACTGTGAGACTTGTTGCTGGGTTTGGCATATTGAATATGTCACAAGGAGCTTGCCGGGCCTTACCGTGTGGGCAAGATACTCTCGGTAGCTTGCCAGGCTCTCTGAGAGGGGCAGAGGAATCTAACTTGGGTTGGCCATGATGGCTGCGTTCAAGGCAAACACCCTACCTACTGTGCTCCAGCCCATCATCATATTACTTTTTATATTTTTGTCTAAAAATTTTAGTTTTTCAATGTGACTTATTGCATGCAACTGTTTTGGAAACTTAGACCTAGCATTATTATTACTATTATTGTTTCTTCCTACCCCATAGCTTTTTTTTTCCTTTTTGGGTCACACCCAGAGATGCACAGGAGTTACACCTGGCTCTGCACTCAGGAATTACTCCTGCCGGTGCTCAGGGGACCATATGGAATGCTGGAAATCAAACCCCGGTTGGTCGCGTGCAAGATAAACACCCTACCCGTTGTGCTATCACTTCAGCCCCCCATAGCTTCGTTGTAAACATTTCTTTTATACATAGAATCACACATGTTCACCCGATTTTAATTCAAATGCTCACTGAAAGTCTGTGCACATAGATAGTGATTTTTATGTTTCAGGGCCTTCAGTACCTCTCCATCTCTTTCCCCCTTTCCTTCACTCAAGTACCTTATGAATGGCCTAGCACAGCGGTAGGGCGTTTGCTTTGCACGCAGCCAACATGGCCGACCCCAGTTCGATTCCTCCGCCCCTCTCGGAGAGCCCGGCAAGCTACGGAGAGTATCTCGCCCGCACGGCAAAGCCTGGAAAGCTCCCCGTGACGTATTCAATATGCCAAACACAGTAAGAAATCAGCATAGACAATAATTCTTTATATTCAGATATCCACATAGACACATATGATTTTTTTTATTAGTGAAGCACCATGGGGTACAGTTGTAGATTTACAAATATTTGTGCTTGGGTTTCGGTCATACAATGATCAAATACCCATCCCTCCACCAGTGCCCATTTTCCACCACCACGGATCCCAGTATTCCCCCCATCCCACCCTGCCTCTGTGGCAGGGCATTCCCTTTTGTTCTCTCTCTCCTTTTTGGTGTTGTGGTCTGCAAAATAGGCATTGAGTGGCAAACATGTTCAGTCCATAGTCTACTTTCAACATGCATCTCCCCTCCTGGGAGGATCCTCCAAACACCCTTTATTTGGTGCTCCCTTCTCTATCTGAACTGCCCTTTCCCTTAGAATACCCGGCTGGCCTCTAAGATATGGAGTAATCCTCCTGGAGGACACATGATTTTGTAGTATGACTGAGTTCTTAAACCCTTGCTGGTATTTTATATTCAAAAAGCACATGTTTTATGTTTAAGTAAAAATGAGAATCTTTACAAGAGTTTCAATGTTATCCAAATGTTACTTATTCATTTGAAATCTTTTTGATTAAAATATTGGGAAAGGATGCAAATATTTCTATCTACTAACATTCTAAAACCCCCCAGGGCACACAGGGAAGAACCATATTGGAGACTTATATGGGCAGAATATCGGTAATGTTGAGAGGAAAGAAACCCAAATAAAGATTATCCATATATTAAATATTTGTAGTTACCTTCAAATTGTTCCTCACATTATATTTCTTCTAAACTTTGCCAAATATCATAGGGACCCATCACTAAACTTATAAATCTAGCTCAAATCAATGTTTAAATATTTTGGTTTCGTTCAGAACTATTGGTGTGAAAGATTTGATTTCTTGTTCTTTTGATTGATGATTTTTGTCCCAATTGATATATGCTCATTATTTAACTCTATGCATTTAAACACTTTATTCCTCACCCACCTACTGTTAGATTTCAAAGATACTTACATATGATTGTCTTTTATTAAATTTTGTTGACTGTTCTGAGCAATATGTTCTGGAAAATGTTGTATTTATATATTTCTAAATTTCTCAATTCCACATTTTCTTGCAAATGTTTGCTCAGTGGTAGATTTTATACAGTTTCATTTAATAAATGTTGTTCAATATATTGTTCATTTCATACATTTTGCTTAATTTCATCCCATCTAAAAACCTTCTTGTAGGATCAGATTACTATGAGGCATAAAATCATAAATACAGTTTATTTGAATATAGAAATTTTGGTTAACATTCATTCCTTGAATGGAAGGAGAGTCTTTCACCAACTTAGGTGGGGTTCCTCCTCTTCCTCCTCCTCCTCCTCTTCCTCCTCCTTCTCCTCCTCCTTTTCCTCCTCCTTCTTCTCCTTCTCTCCTTCTTCTCCTCCTTCTCCTCCTCCCTCTCTTACCCTCTATCTCCCCGTGTTTCCACATAAATTTTATAGGCTCAGAACCAGCAGGGAACCTGAACTCATTCTTCCAGGGTGTCTCATATGACACAGATCAGAAATGCATCAACAACAGATAATATTAGGGAGGCGATCACATTCAATTCTGGTGATGCCTTTCAGAAACTTTGACAATGTGTAGGTGGAATCTGTTGTCTATGAGACCATCCCTCTGACTCATATTTCAGCAACAACAGAGGCTGAGAGACCACCTTCTTCCACATTCTCTGACAACACCTCTCTTCACTCTCACTCCTGTTTGTTACTTTCCCACATTTTCTCAAACACCTTCCTCAGAGTTCTCTCTCTCTCTCTCTCTCTCTCTCTCTCTCTCTCTCTCTCTCTCTCTCTCTCTCTCTCTCTCATCTTTTTTGGGTTACACCGAGCTTTGCACAAGAGTTACTCCTGGCTCATGCACTCCTGGCAGTGCTCAGGGGACCATATGGGATGCCGGAAATTGAACCCGGAATGGCCTCGTGCAAAACAAACGCCCTCCCAGCTGTGCTATCGGTCCAGTCCAAAGTTCTTAATGGTTGCACTGCACTCAGAAATACTTCTCTGCAGACTGGTTCCACTATAGAATCCTTGTTATGCCTGATCAAATGTTACCTGGTATTTTTGTATTTCATAAGCACTTGTAAAGAATAGCAGCAAAAAGGAATGCAAGGCTTTCAGAGTGGCAGCCTGGCTCCGGGAACCAGAGCTTTTGTGTCCCCATCCCCACCCCCCACCTCCACCCCTGCCTCGCCAAGCATGGCAGCCAATTATAACCTCTGTTGTGTACCAAGGGGAAAAAAAAGGGGGGAGGGAATGTAAGGTCATCAAAAATGAGCGAAACCTTGGCCCGCAAATATAGAAATGAGGAGATCAAGTAAGGAGAGAAACGGAGGGCGGGGGAAATAAGAAGTGGACAAAGGTCCTAGGGCTTGGGCACACCGGTGATGCAGATTTGAGGTACATTCATATATATAAACCAGGGAGACAACAATACTGAAAACATTGGTCAGTGGAACCCACACTAAAAAATCAAACTTTTTTTATTATTAAAAAAATTTTAATAGTGAGACACCATGAGGTACAGTTGCAGACTTACACATTTTTGTGCTTGGGTATCAATTATACAATGATCAAATACCCATCCCTCCACCGGTGCCCATTTCCCACCACCACAGATCCCAGTATTCCCCCCATCCCACCCTGCCTCTGTGGCAGGGCATTCCCTTTTGTTCTCTCTCTCTCTTATTGGGTGTTGTGGTTTGCAAAAGAGGCAATGGGTGACAATCATGTTTAGTCTATGGTCTACTTTCCGCATGCTTCTCCCATCCTGGGAGGATCCTCCCAAAACCTTTATTTGGTGTTCCCTTCTTTATCTGAGCTTCCTTTTCCCCTAGTATGTGTGGTTGGCCTCCAAGCCATGGAGTAAAATTCCTGGTACTAATCTCAGCCATTCTTGGGTGTTAGACTCCTCTTTTGTTACTTTATATTCCCCAGATGAATGCAATCTTTCTATGTCTATCCCTTTCTTTCTGAGTCATTTCGCTTAACCTGATACTTTCCATGTAGTACCACTTGTATGTAAATTTCGTGACTTCATCTTTTCTAACGGCTACATAGTACTCCATTGTGTAAATGTACCAAAGTTTCTTTAACCAGTCATCTATTCTCGGGCACTCAGGTTTTTTCCAGATTATGGCTATTGTAAAGAGTGCTGCAATAAACAGACAATTGCAGATGTCACTTCGACTATACTAAAAAACCAACTTTTAAATGTGCCTGTGAAGGATGCAGGTTAGTGAAGGGGTTGAAGGGATCCAGGGGACATGGGGGCAGGGGAACTAACACCGGTGGTGAGATTGGTGATGGAACAATGGATGCCTTAATATATAAATAAATATATAAATAAATGAGTCCTTGATTCTGGTATTGCCACAAATGGTATGTTTTTAAATCATACTCCATTTTTTTCTCCATTATACCCACTTTCTATTATTCATAAAAATGGTCACTGAGCTGTGCTCCCATTGTTCATCGATTTCCTTGAGTGGTCCCAGTAACGTCTCCATGAGGAGACTTGTTGTTACTGTGTTTGGCATATTGAATATGTCACTGGTAGTTTGCCAGGCTTTGTCATGCGGGCGAGATACTCTCGGTGCCGGGCTCTCCGAGAGGGGCGGAGAAATCAAACTCGGGTTGGCGAAGGTTGGCCATGTGCAAGGCCTACCTACTGTGTTATACAACCTGATAAAAGACTAAATTTTACTATGTGCTTTGTGTACTTTCTTTGCCAGTAAATTGTGGGTACTTTTCTTCTAGCATTTTATAATAATCACTGAGAATTTGCTGAAAATATGCTCAGCACTTAATTCATGCTATTAAATACACAAAGAATATTCTGTAAAATTGTAGGCTGCATGGTCACATAAAGTTATAGTACCAAAAGGTCCATATCAGAGATGATATGTGAGAGTCAGAGAAGAATTAGATACAAATACAAAATATTAACTAATTTTAAGAGTGCAAGTGTAATATTGTTGCATTTATATATGTGAGTAATTCAGATGTATGTGAAATTTGTTTTGTGATTTCTTCTTCCTTAGACATAGCCTATATGAAGCCTGAAAATATTTCACACATTTCAGAATTTATTCTTTTGGGATTTTCAGAGGAACCAGAAGTGCAATCCCTTGTGTTTGTACTTTTCCTCTCCATTTACTTGATCACCGTGCTGGGGAACCTGCTCATCATCCTGGCCGTGGGCTCAGACCCCCGCCTCCACACGCCCATGTACTTCTTCCTGGCCAACCTGTCCTTTGTGGACATCTGCGTCATCTCCAACACCATCCCAAAATTGCTGGTGAGCATCCAGACACAGAACAAAAGCATAACATATGAATATTGCTTTACGCAGATGGTTTTTTTCCTACTGCTTTCTGGTTTGGATGTATTTTTTCTGACAGCGATGGCCTATGACCGCTTTGTGGCCATCTGCCACCCCCTGCACTACACTGTCATCATGAATCCCAGGGTCTGTGGACTGTTGCTTCTGGGGTCCTGGGCCATGAGCATCCTGGATTGTTTGTTACACAGTTTGATGACCTTGACACTGTCCTTCTGTACAGACGTGTTTATCCCCAACTTTTTCTGTGAACTCAAGCAGATGGTACAACTGTCATGTTCTGACACTTTCGTTAATGATGTGGTGATGTATGCGGCAGCTCTTCTTGTGGGGGGTAGTACCCTCAGTGGGATCCTGTATTCTTACTCTAAGATAGTTTCCTCAATTTATAGAATCACGTCTGTTCAGGGGAAGTATAAAGCATTTTCCACCTGTGCATCTCACGTCTCCGTGGTCTCCCTGTTTTATTGTACTCTGGTGGGTGCGTACCTTAGCTCTGCTGCCACCCAGACCCCACTGTCGAGTTCAATAACTTCAGCCATGTACACTGTGGTCACACCCATGCTGAATCCCTTCATCTATAGTCTTCGGAATAATGACATAAAGAGGGTTCTGAAGGCATTGTTTGTGAAGGGAACCATCAAAGGACCTTTGTAGTAGGACCAAGTGAGTGCATGGAATTGCTAGGTAAAAATATTGAAGTAGAAATTCAAATCATACTGTATAGTTTGAATATACCAAATACTTTGTAAAAGCAAAACTCAGTTGATCTTGATTTTCAGTACAAATACAAACCATGAAAGCGGGGCCTCACAATCCTTCTGACCTTTGGGGTTTTAAGCAGGAGGTTTCAGAAAAGTTACCACATGGATAACTGGCTTGTGGTGGTCAAGCGTTCATAGCCACGTCACTTTATGATCCTTTGATGTGGGCTCTTCCTATCATTGTGAAGCAGAATTCACCAAGCTTTGGATTGTTCACCCATTAATAGGGAACGTTGAGCTGGGTTTTGACCATCGTGAGACAGGCTAATTTTACCCTACTGATGATGTGTTGTTACCATGGTAATCCTGCTCAGCACGAGAGGAACCGCAAGTTCAGACATTTGGTGTATGTGCTTGACTGAGGAGCAAATGGGGCGAATCTATTATCTGTGGGATTGTAACTGAACGCTGCAAATCCTTCTTATTCAGTTTAATTGAATAGTCTTCTGGAGTTGCTGAACAAGTTCCTAATTCAGGCCAACACTAGTATTCTTAACAAATGATTGTTTGTTCTCTCCTGTGTGTTTGCCCATTTTTGCTATATAAACTGTCTGAGAAATCACAAATTTAAGTCCTGCTTTGTTTTTGCTTAATAGTTCTGTCTTCAAGCTGTTCTTTCTAATATTTTCCTATATGCAGACAAAAAGAAACCGCCCCCTACACTGGGTAGAAATCAACAAATTTCATTGTGAACAAATTCTGTTTCACACAAAAGTAGAACATAAACATAATTCAGCCCAGTTCTTTATAATTTTATGATAAACATCACTGTTTTTCTTCAACTAGTGTGCTCCATCTTTTTCTGTATGAAACCCCAATCAGAATTTCCCTTAGTACTTCTATTTCTGGGCTGGACTGATAGCACAGCAGGTAGGGCATTTGCTGGTCGCCGACCTGAGTTTGATTCCTCTGCCCATCTCGGAGAGCCCAGCAAGCTACCAAGAGTATCCACCTGCAGGGCAAAACTTGGCAAGCTACCCATGATGTATTCATGTATTCGATATGCCAAACATGGTAACAACAAGTCTCACAATGTTACTAGGCCCGCTGGAGCAAATCGATGAACAACGGGAGGACAGAGCTACAGTGCTACTTCGTATACTGTAGAAGCTGAAGGTATTCAGTCTGTTGTCTGAAATTTCCATTTCTGTAATCTCAACTATACTTCATCTAACTCTACTAGTTTTCTTCTCTTTCTGCTGTCTAAGCATTTTCCTCTTTATTCCACCTACATTTTCAAAATTTTAAAAACATAGTTGTTAAAGCAGGCTGGAGTGATAGCACATCAGGTAGGGCGTTTCACTTGCATGCTGCCTACCCGGGTTCAATTCCTCCGTCCCCTCAGAGAGCCCGGCAATCTACAGAGAGTATCCTGCCCGAACAGCAGAGCCTGGCAAGCTCCCCGTGACGTTTTCTATACGCCAAAAACAGTAACAACAAGTCTCACAATGGAAACATTACTGGTGCCCGGTCAAGCAAATCGATGAACAACGTGAGGACAGTGCTACAGTGAAGTTGTTAAAGCATTAGGAAATCATTTGTTCAGTTCATGAGAAAACATATTTTTTAAATATTAAGTTTTGAATGCCACATATGATATCAAAGAAATATATTTTTTTGTTTAGGTGAAAGTTACAATGATTGCTATACTCGGGTCTAGTTATACATTGTATAATATTAAAAAATATGAGACAATTATGAAAATGAGTCCTGAATCAGTCTCTCCCTTCATTGTCCTTCCCAATAAAGTGGACTTTCTTCAGATGATGGCGTTTTGTAAGTGGCTTCATTCTGGTTTAATTCTGGTAATTATTATTTTATCTTAACTCATGGTCCACAGTTTCTATCTAAATCCCTTGCAAAATGTGCCTGAAGTTAATGTGTTCAGGAGTTTCTTCATTGTAAACAATTCTGATATCTGCATTAAATAAAAATCTGTTACCTGCCAAAAAATGAAGAAAAATAAAATCCCGAAATGGAGAAACAATACTATATCTTTCTTGTTTGTATAGCACATCTTTTCAATGGGGTAAGGTCAGTTGGCATCCAAGTGGTTGATACATACAGATTAGGAGTGACATATAGTTTAAAACTGAGTTGACATAATGCCCGTAAGTAGAGAGAGAGTAAGAGGGAAATTGTCTGCCCTAGAGTTAGGGGGAGGGAGTGGGCTGGGGGGTGGGGAGGGTATTGGGGACATTGGTGGTGGAAAATATCCACTGTAGAGGGATGGGTGTTTGATCATTATTTGACTGAAACTCAAACATGAAAGCTTTGTAACTGTAGCTCACGGTGATTTAATTTAAAAAATTTCCCCCTTTGAGCTTTTGTTTTATTTATTTATTTTTTAAAACTTTTTAATGAAACACCGTGAGACAAAATTACAGACTTAAAGACTTTTGTGATTAGGTTTCAGTCATACAATGATCGAGTACCCATCACTCCACCAGTGCCCATTCTCCACCACCAATGTTCCCAGTATTCCTCCCGCCACCCCCCACCCAATCCTCTCCTGCCTTTGTGGCAGGCACATTTTTTAAAACTGAGTTGAGTTCTAGCTACAGGAAATGTTCAGCACAACTACACTGCATTCCTTCTTTCGTTCAAAGGCAATTATGTTCCCTACTACATTCAGTACTTATCATTCAAATTTGTACATGAACATCTGATATTACTCATGGGTTCTTTAGACCTAAGTATCTTTTCATCTCTGGTCAGATCAGGACACAATCAAGTCTATTCCTATTCAGTTCAATAGATCCAGGTCATACAGATTCAAACAGAAACACTCATGGTTTTTCATCCACCTGGTTTCTCCTGGTTACCTGAAAAGAATTCTAATAAAGTACTTCAATGCAATTCTCTAAATAAATGTAAATTATACTGAGCGACTGTGAATACTCACTACAAGTATAAGAACAAACGGTAAGAACTAGCCTACTATTATCAGTGCTCCCATTCTCTCCCCTTAACTATTATTTCAGTTAATGATTTCCTCTTATCAGGACATCCTGAAAACAAACCATCTTATATAATATCCTAATAACAAAATTAGTTTGCAGAGGGAAGAGTGTTCTGAGCTCTGCCTGCTCCCCATTAGTAAATATATTCTATATTTACCTGAACATGTCTGAATATTACTCATCATACTCCTCTATTATGGAGTGTTTTCATACATGTGATCTTTATGCAGGCACTTTTCACTTTCACGTGAATAATTTTAAAATATTTTTAAGGACTGTTATTCACAACACTGTTCATAATGGGGTTATATCAGATACACACTATTCGAGCACCACACCTACCACCAGAGTGTTAGTCTCTCTACACCTGTGCCAGGGTGCCTCTTCTTATCTCCAACCCTCCTACCCCAGCCTCTCCTTTGGAAAATTCAGTTCTTTAGTCCAGCTTTTAGAGTCTGATCTATAATTAAACATTTGTTGTCCCATTACTGAATTTTTATATTGCCGCACATCTGTTCGTAGAAGTTTAATCATCTGTTCTTAGAAGTTTAATAACTTATATTTCTTGTACCCTTACATATATTTTAAAGAAGTGGTTTTGAATAGAATTAACCTGATTTCATGTATCTCCAGAAATGATCTAAAAGTGAGTAGGACAAGGATAGTAGAGATAAGGACCAGGAGGATTGCTTCACCTCTTGTAAGCCAGCCTCACATGCTGGAGGAAAAGGCAGCTCAGATAGAGAAGGGACCACCAAGTAGAGAGTGCTTGGAGAGCCCTCTTGGGATGGGAGATATGTGCTGAAAGTAGACTATAGATCGATCATGATGGCCACTTAATACCTGCGTTGCAAACCACAACACCCAAAAAGAGAGAAAGAGTAAAAGGAAATGCACCTGCCACAGAGGCAGAGGTGGGGTGTGTGGGGAGGGGAGATGCAGGGGACGTGGATGGGGGAGAGATACTGGAAACATTGGTGGTGGAGAATGGGCACTGTGGAGGGATGGGTACTCGATCACTGTATGACTGAAAAGTAAGCATGAAAGTTTGTAAGTCTGTAACTATACCTCATGGTGATTCATTTAAAAAAATTTTTAAATGAATAAATTAAAATAAATAAAAAATAAATTTTGAAAAACTGAAAAAAATAAGGTTAGGGAAATGAGATCCATTTATTACTGGAAGAGAGCGGCTTGGAATGCCTTCAAGAGCATTGAAGAAATAACTAAAAGGACAAAGAACCTCCAGCTACGAGCATATCTCTTTGATTCCACTATTCTTCCTGCATTAACATATGCCTCAGAGACCTGGACCCTACGAAAACAGGATGAGAACGCTATTCGGGTCTCTCAAAGAGGAATCGAAAGAACTATGCTTGGAATATCACGATTCACTCAAATGAGAGATAGAATCCGGAGTTCTGATCTTCGTCAACGCTCAAGAATCAGGGATGCTGTCTCATTTGCCAAGACATCAAAAATCAGATGGGCTGGACACGTAATGAGATTTACAGACAACCGCTGGACTAGAGCCATTACTGATTGGATTCCACGGGACATCAAAAGATCACATGGACGCCCACCTATAAGATGGTCAGACTTCTTCGTCAAGACCCTGAATGATCGGTTTGAGGCTCTGCATGTTCCTAGAACAAACAGATACCATTGGGCTACGCTAGCACGCAACCGGGATGAATGGAGACATTACTGGCACCCGCTCGAATAAATCGATGAATAACGGGGATTAAGTGTTAAGTGATAAGTGAAAAAAATAAATAAAAATGAGTAGGAAGAATGGCGTAAAAGGCTTATTCAAAGAAAGTATGAATAAAACATGCAAAAAACCAAGTTTTAAAAATAAATCTTTGTTCTTAGAGAGGAGAGGGTGGGAATTGGTTGATTGAGTATTGTGAATCAATATTGATATGGT